ACCGAATACCCAGTCAAGCGTGAGCAACCTACAGGAATGGACTATAGACAAAAAAATGAAACTGAACCACAAAAATTGTTCTGTGATAACAGTAACTTTTATGCGTGAACCACCCCCACCGCCTGTCATCCAAACTGATGGACATGACATTAGTCGAGTAATTGTGTCAAATCACTAGGGGTTTTCATCAAAAAAGATCTAAAATGGACTTCTCATGTCAATGAAATTTTGAAGAAGGCAAACATGAGGCTGCATATGCTGAGACTTCTCACTAAATTTCGATTGCCCTTAGATGATCTAGTGCTCATTTACTGTTCATACATAAGGCCAGTGTTGGAATATTGTGCCCCCGTTTGGAACTCCGGCTTGTCTGCCAAACAAAATGAACAAATAGAGAGAATTCAAAAGCTAGCGTGCTGCCTCATGTTAGGGCCACGCTCTTCAACTGTGTAAAGTGTCCTCTTTGAGTGACCGCAGAGAATGTCTGTGCCTCCAATTTGCAAAGAAGCTGCTCAAGCCTGGGTCAAAGTTTATTCATTGGCTGCCCCAAACACGTGGGGACTCCCACTCTCGAAATTTGAGAAATACAAGCAAGTTCACTGAAATGTCGTGCAAAACGACACGGTATAGAAACAGTCCGTTGCCATATCTAGTCAGATTGTTAAACGCTCATCATAGTACTGAATAATTACCAGTTTCACCTTCGACGAACACATCGTTCCCACTACTTTCACTCTCTCAATACCCCTATTTTCTCCTCTCTTTCAGTGCTGTGCTGCGGAGCGGGGAGACCCTCTTCGTGGCTTTCTTGTTCTCCAGCTCTCTGTCTTGTACCCTCACTCTTGTCTCCCCTCTCTCTCTCTCTCTCTCTCTCTCCCTCTTTCTCTCTCTCTCTCTCTCTCCTCTCTCTCTCTCTATCTCTCTTTCTCTCCTTATCTCTGTCCCACCCTCCCCCTCCTATCCCTTTTCTCACTCTCATTCTCTCTCTCTCTCTCTCTCTCTCTCCCTCTCTCTCTCTCTCTCTATTTCTCTGATATAACTTCCTAAATAAAAGGATGACACGTGAATGCATTATCGAATAATGTTACTATAGAATTTTACTTTTGTTTAAACTAAATCAAATTTAACTAGACTTTAATTCGTCACCTTGACGAATAAGGTGATACGTAATTATGCTCATGTGTAGCATAATGAAGAACGCATTTTCACGATTTCATCTTTCGTTATAAAATACTTCTCCCATTTATGGTCTATCCATGAGTCAAGTTTCAACTGTGTAGGGCATGCAGAGGGAGACAGAGCAATAGAATAAGAGGGAGGCAAGGCAAAAGAGAGAGAGAGAGAGAGGCGGAGGGTGAAAGAGTAGAGAGAGAGAGAGTGGGGAGAGGGTGAAAGAGTAGAGAGAGAGATATAGATAGATGCAGAGACAGACCCCCAAAAAGGGGAGAGGGGCAGACCATGAAACCAAGTAACACATCAATCCATTGCATATTAAGAAACTGAAACATCTTTAAATTGTTTACTACCTTATTCCATATTATGGACCCTTCAGAACATTCAAAGAAGATAGGACGATAGGTTTCTACCTCTTTCTACAAAAGGAACATACATTTGACTGTGTTAATCCAAAAAGATACAGTTTATCATTACAAAATATGATGTTATGTAAAAGTTTATACTGAAATTCCCTGGTGACCATGATTAAGAGTGGTATAGCGCCCCCTTCAGGTATTTGATAGAGATTTGTAGAATCAGGATTTCAGAAAAAGTCGCCTAACACGCAAACTAAGAAAATTCTGACATCTCGCCTTTAATTGAATTTTTCACTATGATGTTGTCATCAAAATGATAAATGATGTATTTCATTCTTGTAGATAATTGTCTTAGCTACACCGTATTATAATTTGGGAGAACATAAAGCACAAATAAGCTAGATAGTGCTCAAAGATCAATGTCATGTAGATTCATGATGTGAACGAAATTCACCTTACATAGGCATAACACGCAAATTGAGAAAATTCTGACATGTGGCCTTTAATTGAATTTTGTACTATGATGACATCAATGAAATAAAAAGCAGTGTGTATTTATCTTGTAGGCAATTGCCTCAGCTACAACATACCGAAATTTGGAAGAAAATCAGTCAATATTATGAGAAATACACTAAATTGTCCATAAATATAATGACGTCATAATATGCAATTTTGTATTTTGACTTCCAAGGCGATTATGATGACGTCAAGTTGCATTTAATGGCCAAATGAGATATGAAATCATATGTCCGACTCATACTCTATCTAAATAGGAAAAAAACTTGGCAGCCCTTATTCATCCCAATGGACTTTTTATAGGCATGTTTTTGTCCATATATGCCACGTAATACAAGAGTTAGCGCGCACGGATTTTTATCTTGAACGGACGCTCATTCCGTGTTTAATAGTGATAAAGAGATGAACATGGTGTCAAAATGTTTGGAAAAATGTGTCAAACATGATGACAGAGAAAATCTGGCGATTATATGTTGCAAAATGACAGAACCCGCAAAAAACACGTGCGCATGCGCGTTTGAGTGATTTTTCGTCAAATGCTCCATATGGCTTGAAACGTATGCAAAAAAAAAAATGGGATGATTTAGAGCATTTTTAATTTTTGCGCGCACGTAAACGCGCGGACGAACGCGTACGCGCGCATTTGCGCAAGTTTTTTTACCTGAAATTGACCGGACGGATATTGATCTTATTCATGATAAATATGAATGAAAAATTACTATCCGTTTTGAAGATATGATCATAAGTTGATTTTCACAAAATGGCGCCTGGATGACGTCACGATGACTTTGAGTCTTTGAAAAGTCACGCAGTTCTAAGTTAGACTAAGATCTATCATCATTGAATGTTTCATGACAATGGCTCTATTCAGTCTTGAGATATCCTGCGAACAAAATCGAGGAAGAATAATAGGAAGAAGAAGAATAAAGAAAAATCTTGACGAAATCAATAGGTGATACGTAGACTTCGTTACGTATCACCTAATTATACAAAATCCTGTTTGACTTTTTAACAATTCCCAAGATGATACACATTATATCGAATATTACAATGGCAACCTTTTACCCATGTTTTTATGCGAAATTTATCTTATTTTTATGCAATATTCTACATGTACCTTTTACTAAATTGGCCCAAATACAAAATGTTCTGCATTTTACCTACAATGTATAATTTGTTTAAATCATTGTAGCATCTATTTGATTTTATAATTCCTGGAGTTGGTTTCTGTTGTTGTCTCTGTTTCTGTTATTGAATAAAACACCATAACCATACCATACTCATCTGGCTATGCATTTTCCAACCAAAACATTTAATTATTTTGAATATCATAAATGTATTACTATTCATATATTGTAAAAGTTCAATATATAATTTTAATTGCAAATATGGTAATACAATTCAGATTTCTGTATATGTACCAAGCAATTTCCCAAGGTCGTTGAAGCACAATTATATATGATATGTACAAAAGAATTCCAATTGTACCACCATAATGCTACCATGCATAATGTTTTATGTGTAATTTTACTTTGTCACTGCATACTTTGTAAAGGAAACTGCAATTCGGCTCTCGGGCTGCGAATGTTTTTTTAATTAAATAAACCATTTTAAATAAAAAAATAAATAAATAAATTATGTGCCTAACATATAGCTCCGTTTAGTCTAATTTGACGACGCCCCCTATTGTCGGAGTCAGCAGCCTTACATGGACTTTTACCCCCAAAATCGTTAAAAATTCTTTTTTTTTTTTTTTTAAACGAAAAGCACATCCACCCCGACGCACATTCTCACTAGCTCTTTCATTGGAACCCTCATGTCTCATTGACTTTTAAAAGTTCACCCACCGTATTGCATCAAAATAGGTCGCAAGCTCGCCATTGCCTATGTAACACATGTACAACAAGTCGAACTTTGGACTCAATAAACCACGCGATAGTAAGGTTATAAGTCAAGCACACGAAGGATAAATAGCATGAATTATCATAGATCAGTTCTGATTTATTCATTTTGTCCATTTCATCCAACCCCCCACCGTAATTTTTCCATTTAGTAAAGGCAAGCATTTTGCCGAGGTAAGCAAAAACATGAATATTCATGAACGGTCAGACAATACAGCCTTTTAGTACGTAACATATAGTGAATGGGAATGGGCGAAGATCCGTCCAGGAGGTAGAGGTCAGTGGTTTGTGCTGGGAATGTTCCAGCGAGCGGAAATGAGACAACCAGAGCAATATGACCCCTGAGCTTCCGGGGCTCTGCCCCCGAACCCAACCACTGGATGCTCATCTGACCGTAATCTATTGCCTAACACCCCTGAGCCTCCGCCTCCTGGACCCCACGCCAATTCGTGACCTGCCAGTGTCACAAATAAGGTATAAAATTATGCTCATCTGACGATAATTTGATGTATACACCCCTGAGCTTCTAACGGCTCCGCCCCTTGACCCAACACCAATTTGTGTCCTGCCAGTGTCACAAATAGGGTATACAAATATGCTCATCTGACCGTAATTTATTGCCCAAAACCCCTGAGGTTCTGGGGGCTCTACCTCCTAGACCCATTGCCAATTCATGACCTGCCAGTGTCACAAATAAGGTATGAAATATGCTCATCTGACAGTAATTAAAAGGGCTTCGCCCCTGGACCCCACGCCATTCCATGACCTGCTAGTGTCACAAATAAGGTATAAAATTATACTCATCTGACGATATTTTGATGTATAAAACCCCTGAGCTTCTGAGGGCTCTGCCCCCTGGACCCAACACCAATTTGTGTCCTGCCAGTGTCACAAATAAGGTTTAAAAATATGCTCAATTAAGCGCTATAAGGGAGAAAAGGAAAACAAAAGTCATCATATAACATTGGAAATTGTTTCTGACAGGATACTGACAGCGAAAGTAATGTCGCCGGAACAAGTGTAGTACAACCGATCGAACTACTTTTCAAAAAGCTGCCTTCACTGTTATTTGTGAGTTCTAAATTTAGTCGTCGTCTTCTTCTTCTGCTTCCTCTTCTTCTTCTTCTTCTTCTTCTTTTTCTTCTTCTTCTTCTCCTTCTTCTTCCCTTTCTTCTTCTCCTTCTTCTTTTTCTTCTTCTCCTTCTCCTCCCTCACCTTCTAATTTTATTAGCCTCCTCCTTCTGCTGCTCCTCCCCTTTCTCCTCTCTTCCTTCTTCTTCTTCTCCTTTGTATCTTCTTTCTTTCTTTCTTTAATTTTTTTTATTCCGTTATCTCTTCATGAAAATTGGAAAAAGTCAATTGTTTAATTGAAATTGTGATGTTAATTAATCCTAATCTCATGAAAATTGGTATCAAAATGTAAATAATAATGATTTCTTTAATATTATGATCTCAAACTCATGGTGGTCGAAGGCTTTCTATATTTCTAAATTATTCTGGCAAGTTATGCCATAAAACAGTGTCCGCATATGTATAATGAATATGACATTTCCCCTTAACATTTTGTCACAGTTTAAAGGGACACAAACTAAAGACTTTGTAATGTAATGTAATGATAATGTAAATTGAATGTAATGTAACCGTGACTGAGCTGATCTCATCCCATCTGATCACATTCACAGTCAAGAGCATGTGCCAACCTCTTGCGTTCTACGTTGACTCGCTGTACTGGGCCATGAAGGGACTAGGTACCGACGATGACAAACTCATTCGCATCGTCGTAGGCAGATCAGAGGTAAGATGGTCAGACATGAGGGATGAACATTTAAATCAGAAAAAAGTTAACATTTTGTGACTCCCATTTCTTTATCTCTCTCCCTCGCTATCTCTCTCTCTCTCTCTCTCTCTCTCTCTATCTTCCTCTCCCTCCCTATCGCTCTTTATCTTTCTCACCTTCTCTCTCTCTCTCTTTCATTTCTTTTCCCCCTCTATTTCTTGCTCTATTTTTAAGTTCAACCTTTTGTTTTCTTTGTAATTTCTTCGTCATGTGTGTTGGTCAAGTTGTTTGAATATTCGACTGCAACAAATGTGGAAGTCGTAGGTTGGACCCCGTAAAGGGCTTGCAATTACAAAATCACAACATCTCATTTTCCCTAAATTGCTTCTCTTCATCTTGGTCTATAAAGAGGGTATTCGCGATTCCTTTTTTTTGTGAGGAGGGGGGGGGGGGGCTGGAGGGACATAATAAAAAGGCCCCAATGGCGGTAACAATATACGACTACTACGCCATCTACGAGGGAGGCTAGTGACTGAGCGAAGAGGTTCATTTTTTGAGGTTTCACCATCTTCAAATTAAATTAGGCCTAAATGTATTTCTTAAATATGGTCTAAATATAATTTATTGGGGCGTGGGACATCGTGCAATTGTTTCCTTCCCACCCTTGGTTATCACAATTGTTGTTACTTTTTTAATAATTTATATACCGCCTTTTTCACTCAGATAATATATTTCACCTTATTTCAACCCACTGCCTACTGGAACCGAGTGGTCCATGTATTAAGCCTATAGTGGTGAGAGAATTCGGTGATAATCGGTCAATAAGAAACTTGATCAGTGACCACCTCGCTTATGATACAGGACATTTTATTTCTTCCCTTAAATTTATTTTGTTTTCCTTTTGAATGTATCAATGGCATTCTCCCTCTCTGGTGTAGATCGACCTGGCTTCCATCAAAACCATGTGCAAGGAGAAATACACCACCACCACCCTGGCTGCTATGGTCGAAGATGATACCAGTGGAGACTACAAGAATGTTCTCATTGCCATTGGTATCATCAACGCCGATGCTGCACCTACCCCAGCCCCATCCACCACCTAAAGACCGGCTGGAGTCATTCCATTCACCAATTTAACACAGTATTATAGCTGCTACGTATTATGAACAAAAAACTTTACCAACATTATAATTACTAAGTCACCTTATAAATAGCTGGCATTAGTCAACCGTGTACTCTCATAACATCACAGGCGCTACAAGCTCTGGACAAGGAGCCAATAATAAGGGTGACAACCTTAGACAGGTAGATAGATGACCACTAAGACTACACATGTAAGGGACATGCATATGACAAAACTCACTGTCTGATGCAGTGGCGATGTATCAGTTTACATCTACCTTGATGCCATATCATCCACAAATAAAGTTACGAGAGTACACGGTTTACTACTGTGAGTTATTTATAAGCTGGTTAAGGGATTGTAATCTAGGTACAGATAAAAATGGACATTGTCATCACACGGGACAGTTTGACACCGTCTGAAATTGCTGAAACGGGTGCTGGAGTACAATCGCATCAAGCGATATTATATAGTGGGGCATGTGCACATAAATGTTACGTATAAAGCTTATTATATTATAAATTCACTGTGCTCAATACAGTCTTAGATACCTCTCTTTTATTATATATATATTTACTACTACTATACTAACACTAGCACTCCTATAATCATAAATAATCATAGCATATATTGTGTTCAAAACTATTACAAAATAGTATACTATTGAAGAACTTGTACAGTACATAGAAATCTTTGGTTTTATTGGATAAAAGTAGGTGAGTATTTAATATAGATGTAAATTAGAATGCACTGTGCTTTGATCTCATTCCTGTTTGTAATATTTTGAAATATTCCGAGGGTGTTGTAGAGTCTTGACCTTTGGAATGTTGTGTAGGATTAGGCACTCATATTCTATGACAATAATATGAATACAAGCTTTATAGAACAGAACCTCTAACACTTTCAATTAAGGCCCATTTATTGAGATACATGTATGGTCCAGGGCATCTACGTGATTTCAAGGATAAATAACATAGCACACATTCAATCCGACAGCAACAAAAGAAAATGAAAGAAATTGGCTAGCTTCACCACCTTTTCGGTGTTTAATTACTCAATTACAGTGATTATGCAACATCTAAAGCGACGGAGAAAATAGAGAACATATGCAAGTGAAGATTTCCATATTTATCAGTTTTCATATCATAATATTCATTACTATATACATTTGAAATAGTGAGATGAAGTTTTTTAGTATTATATTGTACAGTGCAATGGGTGCAGAGATTCCAAATCTTGTTTCTGTGAGAGTTTATCTTATCTAAATGGTCGGATATTAAAAATTACATATTAGAAACAGAGTGGAACTGGTTGTATTAATATATTATGATAACAACATACTTGACTATAATTGTAAAATATATCGTACCTAAAACTCTAACAAAAAAAATTTGCACAAACAACAAATAAATTACGTGAAATTACTGGCAAGCTCATACAATTGCAGCATAATCCTATGGTTTTGATCAAACTACGTGTGATTTATCAAAGATATAAACTAAACCTTCTGATAAGTGACACAATAAAAAAGTAACCATGGTGACGTTCAATCATTTTAGATGCTGTTATGAGTTTTGTCACGCTTAGCGTTTGTACCGCAGTTCATTTTTGGCAATACTGCACGTTTCGATATAATTCGTTATTAGGATTACAATTAATGAAGAGATTTTTTTGACATTACAAGAAAACTGCCTAGGGTTTTCGATACCATACAAGTATAACCTTTTCCTTTCGTATTTGTATTAAAATCTGAGTACTTGTTAAAATGGGTTAAAGTTATTAACATTTTCCGTAACTGGTAATGCTAATCACCCTATAATGAACGTATTCTGGGAGCAGTTTAATTACCTTCCGTACCCTTTGATATCCCATAGAAATGATCCGATTACGTGATGCGGCAAGGTATAATGTTTGCACAATAATTTAAATCGGTGATAAACGTGGCTATCAAAATTGGCTTAGCATTTTTTTTCTTCTAAAGTTCTTTGAGATCGTGTTTTCCTTAAAATTTACCATTATCATAGTAATTTATCCATACGAAATATATTGCTATAAATTTCACACTGATCTTGATAATTGAACTATCAATGAAATTTCAATGCTTACAACTTATTTATCTAATTCATTCCGTCTTTTTAAGTATTTTAGATAAAGACAATATATTTCGTTACTTCAGGAGGTGAAGGGGACGAATCGTAAATTGTTATTGCATTAAAGTAAGAACATAAATAATTGTTCTGATTTTCTTTTGTTTGTTTATTTATTGTTGCTTTTTTTGGATTAAAAAAAGAAGATATTTTATCGTCATTCAAATCACAAAAATAACAACAGAATAAAAATATATACATAATTAATCATAATACTACATGATATTGAAGTTACATTACTTTAGCATGAATGAAATATATGATTACAAAATCGCACACTTTCATTTTTACATCTCCATATCAAACTATTACAAATGCATAACAAAGCCTATATACGCTTGGTTCCTAATTATTACAAAAATATAATATAATCATATACAGTTGGAAGTTATTACTCATGTATAACAAAATAACATGTTGTGCAATGAATGAATATTATTTAAAACAGAGCCTCCCGCAAACACACATACACGCGCGCGCACAGACAGGCAGATAAATATAAAATGTGACCCTTCCTCTACATACCCAAAACTGTCCAAACTCCACAACCCCCCCCCCCCCCTCCCTTTCCGAACCCAGCCACATCTACACAGGCGTTGGAAATCCAGTCTCTTCCATGTCCCACTGTCCAAATTATATAACATGTTTGAGTCTGAGATAGAAATATTTGCAATGTTACCGATACAAAAATGATAAAGCAAAAATAATAATCAGATATATGGTAACAGGGTAGGAAAAGATAGTGAGATAGACGGATTAAAACTAATGCTGTTGTCACAACTCGCCGTACGTCTCTTTGCATCTTATGATGCACCAAATTTAGTTATAAGCGCATATTTCATGCAGGAATATGTTAAATTAGAAGATGAAACTCGAAATTCATAAATTAATAACACCTGTTGGAAGTCATAACTTCAAGAAGACTTTTCAATGGTAATCAACAGTTGGTCTACACAAACTTTCTGTATCATAGGCACATGACAAGGGAGGTAGGATAGGGTGTCTTAGGTTCGAGGACATGTTAAAGCAAACTAATACTATATTCGATCAATACTTTTATCATATTCTACACAAATTAATTTAGATCAATTATTGCAAATGAATGTCCAAATATTAGACTACAAATAGGAGGGATTAGAAAATGTTTTGTCTAAAGAATTGCCGCGATTTCGCGATCTCAAAATTAGATATCGGATATAAATGCGCTACAACTACATAGAAGATCATACAAAAAACGAGACCTTAATTTTTCAAAACATGCGATCCATCAAAGGTAAGGTAATTGCATAAATTGCAAGTCAATATGTCCAAAAATAAATTTGTATCACTTTTTACTAACAATTTTGATGACATCGTCTCTCAAATTATAGATTTCGTTACCCTTTTGTGTAAGTTCCTTTTTTCAAAACGAACGCAAAAGACTTCATAATTCTTTTGTCAATATTTTCATACTTTTATACCCAATTCCGTCACTGTTTAATTTCATGTTCCTCTTTCCATTTGTGATATCAGAATTTCGAAATCTTACTGATTTGTTTATAGATATGGAACTGTCGGTGTATTAAGGTCACGCACGAACTATGGTCACACCACCATACGTTTGCAAGAGAAGATTGATTTTGGGCAAGGATAAGACAATAATTACAAGCTCCGCCGTTTTTTAAAGTCATTTTTGGAAGAATATCATTGTAGAATTATCCTCCGAGAGGAGTTGCTCTTCAAATGCCCTCCCATTCGAAACATCACAT